TAATAAATCTGCAAAAATGTCAACGATTCTGTGTTTTTCTGTCAATATGGGGTGCTGTGTGTACATTGAGGAAAAAAAATTAACTTAAATGATTTTAGCAAATGGCTGCAATATAACAAAGAGTGAAAAATTGAAGGGGGTCTGAATACTTTCCGTACCCACTGTATATAATGAAAATATTTTTATATTTTATTATAATTAAATAATAATAATTATTATTATTCAAAATAATCTGTCAGCTATAAATAATTAATTCTAACTAAAATATTCAAACAAAATCTATTTTTATTTTAGTTAATAAAAATACAGCTGTTTATAGTTTTTTCATAGTGTTCAAAATTTCATAGTGTTGTTATTTAACAGTACATTAACTAATGTTTATATAATATATAAAATGAAATTCACATTGAATAGATTTATAAATGCTTAATTAAAAATGTGTGAATAAAACAAATGGCATCAAAATCAAATAAATGAGAAACAAATGAAAGCTAAACAGAAATATTGTAAAAAAAAAAAAAAAAAAAACCTCATCAAACACGTCCACTCTGGCATTGTTCTGCAGCAGGATCTTCACGACCTCTGTGTGACCCTGCTCTGCGGCCAACAGCAGCGGCGACCAGCCGTTCTGTGCCACACACATGAACACACACAAACAATTAAACACACACACTTAAACTCTAATGGACCAAACTGCTTACAGTGGAGCTGACAGTACATATGTGCATTATTGTTAACTAAATCTAAAACTAAAAATATGAAATATATTTTTAAATAAAGTTTTTTTTAAAGAAAGTTGAAATAAAATAACAAATAAAATAATAAAATAAAACAAAAATGCATGTTGCTCTGACAACTGAAATAATTTAAAACTAAGCACTAAAACTGTAAACTGAAACTAAAAGTAAAACAAAAATAACATTAAACCTAAAAATAGATAAAATAAAAATGAATTAAATTTAAATTAAAACAATTATAAAACATTCAAAAAAGTTTGCATCCAGAGTTATTATCGTGAACTCAACCTAACACTACTAAAAACATTTTTGTTAACTGATATAAAGCTAAAACAAAATCAAATAAAATATAAATATTAGACGAAAACTAAATAAATTAGATATGTTGCCATGGTAACTAACTGAAATAATGTTACAGTATGTTGAAGCACTAAAATTACTCACTGGAAATAAATAAATAACTAAAACGGAACTAAAACTAAAATTAAAACCTAAATATACATATAAAAATCAATTCTGAATAGTTACATAAAAAAATGACGAAAACACATAACAAAATGACTTAAATTACATTTAAAATATAAAAATAAAACCTAATTCAAAATATAAAAAAATAAATAATACTAAAATAAGAAACACTTTTACTACTGTTTTGGGAACATTTTATCTTTAAAAATGAAGTAAAATTTTTTTTTTTAAATCACTTTCTTAATCAGCACATTTTTGCATGTTTTATAATATGGTCATATGCATGTTTTAAAGAATAGGTAAAGTACAAGGAAAGAAAACACTGGAGTCTATTCAGCTGTAGTCTGTGCCCTTCCTGAAGCATCAGATCAGTCCGAGATCTTTCTGAGATGTGAGGCAGATCTCACGTTCATTGCTGATTTGTACCTTGGCGTGTTTGTTGATGGCGGTCTGGAGCTGGTTGGAGGGGACGTTACTGAGCATCTCCTGAAGCACAGCGGTGTTTCCCACCCTGGCGCTGTAATGAAGAGGCGTCTCTCCACTCTGAAGAAACAACACATTCACAATACCAGCTTACTGGTCAGTTTTGTGTCAAGATGTCTGTCAAACAGCACAAAGCACACCTGTCGGGTGACGGCGGTGACGTCAGCGTGATACTCCATCAGGAACTTGATGATGCAGGTGTCCTCGTCTGGCTGATGCACGGCGTCGCTCCTGAGCTCAGCTGCCAGGTGCAGCGGCGTCTCGCTCTTCTGCAGGGGGCGCCAAACACAAGCAAATCATGCTGGGTTTTGTCTGGCGCTTTTGTAGTTTATCATGTCATTCTCATTGATCTGTGGGTCTGACCTGGTTCCCTTCACGCACACAGAGCTCCGCCTCCTGACGGCTCCTCTCATTGGTCAGAGAGTTTAAAACCTCCTCCACCACGCGAGCGTGACAGTGACGCACCGCAACCAGTAGAGGGTTTTCACCAACCTCAACACAGATTTAGATTTAGATAATATTGATATAGAATTCCAAACGGTGACTGCAAATTAATTAAATCTCCTACAAGAGAAGGTAAAAAGGGTGAAAATGCAAATACATAAATTAATCTTAGTATGGATTTAAAAAACAAAGTGGGGGTTGAATTAATAAATACAAATATAAACAAAATATACAGAATGCAACACAAAAATACAAAATAAAAATAACTTTCAAACAAGACATTTTAAACAAACAAATAAATAAATCTTAGTATGGCTTTTTTAAAGGTGGGGTTTGAATAAAAAAATAAATATAAAGAATACAAAACAAAGAATGCAATGAAACAAAATACTAAATATAATAACTTTTGAACAAGACATTTCATTAAAGAAATATATAAATAAAATAAAAATACATGGCTTTTTTAAAAGTGGGCGCTTAATTAATAAATATAAATACAATAAACAGAATTTAATACAAAATAATAAAATAAATGAATCAATAAAAAAATCTTATAGCTTTTTTAAAGCTGGGGGCTGAATTAATATTAACAAAATATAAAGTATATAACAAAAAATACAAAATATAAATAACTTTTGAGCACATTTTTACTAAAATAAATAAAACAAATAAATACATTTTAGTATGTTTTTTTTTAAGTTGGGGTTGAATTAATAAATATAAACAAAATGTAAAGAATGAATTACAAAAATACTAAATATAGTACATTTACATTTTTATAAATTTTTATTACATCCGTGCTAAGAAACATGTATGAAATAACATCAGTTAATGCAATTGTTAACAAACAATAAACAGTACTTTTCCAGCATTTATTAATCTTGTTTAATGATAATTTTTACATATTCTAATACATTTTTAAGATTAAGAAGTTAACATTAGTTAATGCATAAAATAAAAATATTTTATTAGAAATATTAAAATAATAAATATTAATAAGTAATATAAGATTAGAAGCAATATAAGATATAAGATAATATTTTTTTTTAAATAATACAATTGCATTATTTATTATTTAATTTTTTGTTGTTTTTGTGTCTCATCTTAAAATGCAGTTATTTCTCCAGGACAGATGTTTAATAAAGTACCTTAGACTTCCAGGTCACATCTCCACCCTCCTGGATCAGCGCTCGTATCATCTGCAGAGCGCCGTGACGCGCGGCTACATGCATAGCGGTCTCTCCGTTCTGATCAGAGAAGGAAACACTGTTTTAATGGCAGGTTTACCTTCTTTAAACACTGTGAACCTGTGACGCCCACCTCCTGCTCTGCATTCACATCGGCTCCGCTCTTCAGAAGCATTTCAGCCGCCCGTTCACCTTCCTTCACTCTCGCTGCGATGTGCAGAGGGGCTTCCTGCACCTTTATAGAGGACATGCACATCAACCAAGAGTTTGCTTTCATTCACTGTAAAATTTCATAGACTGATAAAACATCCTTGAGTTTTTTTTACACTTGGCAAAACAGCTATTATTTGCATATTGATGCAGCCTTAACTTTACTGGACCTGAAATCAAAGCTCCCTACTTAAGAAAAAAAATAAAATAAATAATAATTTTTTCTTGTTCCATGGAAAACAAAAACATGCAGGTGCGAAAATAATTATTCTATGACATTACAATAAGGTTTCATTTGTTAAGAATGACACTTCGAAAGTGTATTAATTTCAGTTAATGTTAATTTCAATATTTACTATTAACAGTATTATTTTTAAATCATTGAGATACTATTATTTTTTTTATTAATGTTTTTAATTAGCTTTTCTTTTTATAGTTTTTCTTTTTGTAGTTTTAGTAATTTTGTTTTGTACTTTTTAAAATTTTTGTCTATATAGTTTAATTCATTTTTTGTTCAATTTTAAATTTTTATTTAGTTTCAGTAAGTAGTATTCAATTGTTATTTAGTATATTTTTTAAATACATTTTATATCTGTTATTTTTATATATTTATTTTATTTTAAATAACATTTTAATGGTTTTAGTAGTTTTTTTATAATATGTTTAAATAGTGTTTAATTTGTATTTCAGTTTGTCACGCTACACTGTTGAGAGAACACGCTGGAGTCACAAGGAAACGTTTAACAGTCTTTAATCAAGAAACACAGGAGATAATCCACAATGGGAGCTTGAGCCAACAAGTTCCCGGAAGTTAGCGCTCATGCTATCAGCACCGTAGAGATGCAGCAGAAGAGACCGCTGTGATGAACTTTTAAAAGGTAATACATTTATAGAACAAAACTGTATATTATCAGCACAGCTAATCAAATTGCCGTGTGCATTAAAACAGATTATTATTAGATTATTCCTCACTTAATTAGTAGATTTACGGGATGTTATTCATTCTCTTCATGCAGTTTCATCCATCGTTGTGTAATTAAGGCTTTTAAAAGTGATTTTGCTGGTGGGGAGTTATTTAATAGACTTGGATATATTGAAAAGGATGCAGATGGACCTAAGTGAGAATGAAAAGTTTGAAATAGACGAGCAGTTTTCATTTCAGAATCGTGCTAGGCTAAATTTCAAAAAAATGTATTATATACCACTATATTATATATATATATATATATATATATATTGGAATATACTACAAATATATTTTTATATATTAATAATTGAGGGGTGCACAAGAATCAAAAACATTAAACAAGATTAGTTTTCACTTAATAAAATATCTTCATTTATTTGGAATGAATTTTCTAAGACAACAAACTTAACATTTACCATGAGATTAGTAAAACGACAATGAACATTAAGATGTGATTGAACTTGACTAACATGCAAGTTGTAAGAACACATACATATATAATTATATTTATATAGAGAGGCTGAAGTTACCTGAAGTTAACACGGACTTTTACCATGGTAACTTCAGCCTAAAATATGTTAACAAGGCAGGTAAGGATAGCTGACCACATTAATCCTCAAATATTAGCGGATTTTATCTTTTAAAAACAACACTGATATAACTACATATATATACTACGTATACATGTATACATTATTTTATAAATAATGTAAATACATTATTTTATTGTCTACTAATTACCAAAAATCACAGTTCTGTCTCTCCAACTCAATGTATTTCAATTGCCCGCTATGAACTTCCTGGAACTATTTGAGGTCTACGTGAATCACGTGACGATCGAGCGTTTTGGACTTCCGTTGATGCAACTCTCTCTCTCTATGGCTCTGGTGGGAGCTAGGGAGGAGGCTCAGGAGGAGGACGGACACCCGGGAGGGGGCCAGCAGACAGAGACCAGGGAGGCGACGAAGGAGGGAGGAGACAGGAGGGGCAGAGCAGGAGGAGCCAAGCAAGACCCAGGCCACAGCCATGATGGCGACCCACTGTGGAGCCGACGGAGGGAGGAGCCATGAAGGAGGAATGGCCGCCGACTCCAGGGGGTCGACCAATGGCGGCGGAGCAGGTGGTGGACGAGCCCGAGGCAGAGACGGAGAGCCAACTAGCCAGGGGGATGCCGAGGATCCGGGGGGCCAGGGTGGAGCCAAGGGCTCTGGCGACCAAGGCGGAGATCAGGAGATCTGCGGCGGAGCTGGAGCGACTGAGGACCAAGGAAAAAGGAGGAAGGAGCCCAATAGAGCCGGTGGGACGGAGCAACGAGGTGCAGCCAGAGGAGCGGAATCCTGACGCGATGGCGGGTCGATGCCCGACCAAGGCGGAGCCGGAGAGACTCTGGATCGGGAACCCCCTCTAGGCTGAACACGGGAACAGGATGGTGCTCTGGAGGAGCGGACACTTGAGGGCGCTTTTGAGGCACGGGCACTGGAGGGTGCTCTGGACTGGACTGGACTCGGGGACTGGAGCCCTCTCCTCTTCGGTGTGGCACATTCGCCGCGCCATACTCAGCTCACCCTCAGCCGCCGACCCACGGTGTAGCCGATGGAGGGAGGAGCCATGGAGGAGGAATGGCCGCTGACTCCAGGGGGCCGACCAATGGCGGCGGAGCAGGTATTGGAGGAGACAAGGCGGAGAGCCAACGAGCCAGGGGGATGCCGAGGATCCGGGGGGCCAGGGTGGAGCCGAGGGCTCTGGCGACCGAGGCGGAGATCCGGAGATCCTCGGCGGAGCCGGAGAGACTGAGGACCAAGGTGGAGCTGGCGGGAGGAAGGAGCTCAATGGAGTCGGTGGGACGGAGCGACGAGGTGCAGCCGGAGGAGCGGAGTCCTGAGGCGATGCTCTACGATTCAGCTCTACGATTCAGTCGACGCCCGACCAAGGCGGAGCCGGAGGGACGAGGGAGCCCAGCACCGTCCGCGGCTTTCTCCCTCGTGTCTGGCATTGTCACCGGCTCTCGCACCTGGTCTGACGGATTCAGCTCTACGTCCGGGGCGATCCTCTGCCCAGTCGCTCGGCTTTGCGCTGGCTCGCTGATCGCGGTGGGAAATGGCTCTCCGTCAACGGTGCACGGGCCGAGGCAGAGTCCGGGCCTGGGAGGCTGGAGGTGGAGGTGAGGGATTCTCCAGCCATGGCGACGCTGTAGGATGGCAGACCCGCGGAGCTCGCACCGTAATGATGGTGGGCTGAGGGCGACTCGAGGACCATCTTCGGACGATGGCGCTCTGCACTCGATGTTTACACTGGCGTCGTAGAACACACAAGAGCACGTCGTCCGGGTAGCTGGTGGTGCTTGCTAGCAGCTGGAACAGTCTAGTATGGTCCTCGAGAGCTTTGTCCCCCTGCTCCAGCAGGAGGAGGAGGTATTCGGTGTGAAGAAGGGCATCATCCAGGGAACACAATGGAAAAAAAAGATACTGGGAAAAACGAGAACACAAACGGATGGGAAAACACGGAGGTAACTGTTTTTGGGTCAGGTCTTCTGTCACGCTACGCTGTTGAGAGAACACGCCGGAGTCACGAGGAAACGTTTAACAGTCTTTAATCAAGAAACACAGGAGATAATCCACAATGGGAGCTTGAGCCAACACACGTAGAGAACGAGTAGACCTGACAAAACACAAACTGAACAGACTAAATCTATATTTTATTTTATTTATTAATATTATATTTTATTTTATTTCAGTTAACACTTATTTTATTTCAAGTAACGGAAATTATTTTTATGGTTTGGTTGTTTAGTGGTTTTTTTAGTTTAGTATTTTTTTTCTTCATGTTTCTACAAAATGTTTATTCATTTTTTATTTCAGTTTAAGTTTCAGTTATTTTAGTAGTTAAACTAAATTAACATAAGAAATGCTGTATTAGCAACTAACTAAATAATAAACCTGACTATTACATTATTAAAATCAAAAGTTGTATCCGTTAATATTATTAGCTAATGCGAACTAATAATGAACAGTTAATATATAGATACTGTAACAAATGTATTGTTACAAATGTATCATTGTAAGTTAATGTATGAACTAATGAGGACTTATTGTAAAGCATTACCTCTTTTTATTTAAATGTAATATAAATGTTATGATGATTCTTTTAAATAACTCCTCACTGAACTCTGCTGGAAATGTCTTCATGATAAATCAGATCCGTACAGGTATGTTTTTACCTTTCCTCCTCTGAGCTGCATATTTGCCCCGAATCCCAGCAGCATCTGCACCACCTGCGGCTTGCAGTTCTCCACCGCGATGTGAAGCGCCGTCTGTCCGTCTTTAGCCGTGGCGTCCACATGCGCCCCCTTCTGGAGCAGAGCCTTCACTACAGCCGTGTGTCCTCTCTTAGCCGCGGCGTGAAGACAAACCGCCCCTGACTGCACAACATCACACAACATCCAACCACGCACAAGAACACATTATAGAAATAAGATTAGTCACAACCAAACCTGAAAACAAGATCTAAATAGTTATAAAATAAAACAAGATTTGGAAGTCCTATAATGCAAGGAATTCAGTTTAGAGCAAAGTATATCATGCACTGCATTTGCAAAAATATATAAAAATATACAATGCAAATCTCTAATGCAACTTTGGTGCATTGTAATTTTGCACTATGATAATTTTTCAAAACAGCATTGGATTGCATCATTCTGATCCAAAAATACTTTTTCAGATGATCAAATCTGGATTAGCAGAGCTTTAAATAGGGTCACATATAAAAATATAGGCTACTAGATATATAATGAACATTAGGCAGAACAATCAGCATTATGCCACATTAAGTGTTTTTATTTGACAGAAACAGCACAATAAAATAATATAAATATCCCCTTCTATTTTCAGTTTCTTTAAACAGTGAGATTTCTTATCTGACCCACAACAAATAAATAAAAATGAACAAATATACATGCAATTGTAAGAAACCACTTATATAACCACTAATATACAGTGATAATTACAATATATGTAATATACTGAATATTAAAATATATTCTGAAATTTAAATTTGACTTTTAATAACTTTTTTTATTTTTAATTATTTTTTAAATAATTTTTAATTATTTTTTGCTTGATATTGACAGTTGTTTGGGGGATTATTATTGTAAATGTTTTTTTTTTCTTATCTACTTTATCAATGTAATGCGTGTTTGCAAAATTTAATTTTGTTCGTAAAATCCCTGAATCCGCCAATTTGAAATATTAATTAATACTATAATAGTATATAAATAACACTAAAACTGAAATCATGTAGGATTTACATTTTTTAAACAATTTTCATTCAAAAATTGCTAGTAAATTTTGAAATTATTACAAAGAAACTGCAAGTTAACACTGAATTAAACATGAAATATTGAAGCAGAAAGTCTGAAATTGTATTTTCTTCTAAAACTTACTCCAATAATGTTTTATTATTTTAATCTTATTAAGCAGTTTTGAACAACAAATATTGAAGGTCTGATCCAGAATCAAAACCTAAAGAAACCTTCAGAAACCATTCTCTTCTTTTGAACAAACAATTTTCAAGATCTAATCCAATCTTCAAACTTGTAATAATCAGTCTACCAATAAACTAATTTCACAGATGTGTTGAGTACCTTGTTGGGCATGTGCAGCGAGACGCCTTTCCTCAGTAGCGTGAGAGCGGTTGCAGGGTGACCACACTGAGATGCGATATGCAAAAGTGTGTTGCCGTCCTGTACGGGATCATACGGGAGATTCACTAGAAACATCTTCACAGAATACAACACTGTGCTCAAATTTGCACTCAAAGTCTGCAATCACAAATCAGAGATCTCAATATGGATTCAAATATTTCTCATCAAATGATCTGAGCTGCTCCTCCTTCATTTTATACCTCCGTACACTTAGTTTAAGATGATTGACTCATTTGTGTCTGTTTTTCTTAGGCATTTATTTAAGTTTCAATTGATCAAGTTTAAACTTAATTGAGACTTTATTTTTGCATTTAAGTAATAATAAATGATTTGAAAGCAGATCACCTTTGTTCTTGCTAACACACATGACCTGAACTTCTCGGTGAGGATCTCGACTGCACTGGTGTGTCCCTGCTCTGCGGCGATGTGTAGAGGAGATCTGTCCATCTGAAACAGAAGAGAAAAGGAGATTTAAAAACAACAACAACAGAGACATAAAAATGTAATTAAACAATTAAAAAACAATAAAACACTAATTGAAAATTAATTCAATCATAAAAATATTTAAAAATTCAAAACAAACAATGGAAATAGAACACTTACTGAAAATATCACATAAAAATGTAAAATAAAAATAATCAAAATAAAATGCATACTGAAAATTAATCATAAAAAATGTCAAATTAAAATAAATTGTAAAAAAAAAACACTGAAAATTATACAATTATAAAATAAAACAATAAATCAAAATAAAACTCATTCAATCACAAAAATGTAATATTAAAAAAAACATTGAAAATGAATTAAATGCCAAATATGTAAAAAAAAAATGTAAAAGTTAAATTAAATAAATGTTAACAATAAAAAATAAAATGCTTACTAAAAATTTAATAATTAAAAATGTAAATTGCAAAATAAACATTTAAAAAACACTCACTGAAAAAGATATATTTATAAATATGTATATATATTATAATATTTATATAAGAAATATTTTATATGCTTATTGAATGTTATGTGACATCAGTGAACTGCAACATGCAGATTGTAAAATTGTTGGAATTGTAACTTCAATTGAGTTCAGTTTGTTTTCATTTAATTTCCTGAAGGCAATTTGAATGTATTTAGACATAAAACAATACTTAAAACAGTATTTTTACAAAAACTTAAAAAAAAATAAAAATAAAAAAAAAAAGTACATAAACCCCTAAACTTAAAGACCACTTGAAAATTCTCAGTTTCTCTGGATTTACAATTTATAGTTATGTGTTTGAGTAAAACATACATACATAAATATATATATATGTTTTTTTTTTTCTTTATTCTGCAAACTACTGATGACATTTCTTCCAAATTTTAGATAAAAATGTTATCATTTAAAGCATTTTTTGACATTTGGTCAAAAACAAAAAAGATGCCATGTTTTCAGACATGTTTACCATACCAATGTTTAAGAAATCAATATTTGGGGGAATAACCCCGATTTTCAATCACAACAAATGACCACATTTGTTATTTTGACCAATTGTCATTTATGCAATAAAAATGCTCTAAATTAAATATTTTTATTTGAAATTTGGAAGAAATGTTATCAGACCCTTATAGAATAAAACAAATATTAACATTTTACTCAAACCCATACCTATCAGATCCAGTAAATCCAGAGAATTTTCAAGAGGTCTCTTAATTTTTTTCCAGAGCTGTATATTGTATTATATAATATTAATATATAGATCAAAGGGGTTCGGCTGACAAAAACATTTGGGAATCCTTATAGATAAACAGCCAGTTGTTATTACTGAATTGACTGTTCAGTTATATATAAACATAATAATATGATGTTTTCAGTCTCACCTTGTCTAAGATGTTGGGACTGGCCTTGCAGTGGTATAAAAACTTCAGCATGTTCTCGTCTCCTTCCAGAGCAGCGATGTGCAGAGGAGTCTGCCATTCATTCTGTAAACAAACAAGGCATGATGGGTAATTATCTCAACACCACTCTGTCCTTTCCAGTTAAGAGAAATCGCACAGAAATGGAAACACAATGTTTGTATTTCAAACAGCAGGACAACATTGACTCACATGCTATTAGCAAACCTCAGTTTCTTCTTATTGCTCTCCAGGTAACCAATAGCTGTTGCATAGAATTCAAGGCATTGATGTTTGCCTTCAGACTTATGTGCCCTCTAGAAACTTGCATTCTGCAAGTGAACGGCGCATTATTGTGCCATCCCAAAGAGGCACTAAATCACTTTCACAGACTTTTACATTCACTGTTCCCTCCTGGTGGAATGACCTGCCCAACTCAGTCCGAGCAGCCATCTTCAAGAAACACATCTCTTCCATCTATACTTGAACCTCCAACACTAGCACTCTCTATTCTATTTCTATTATATCTACATGTTTTATTTTTATCTATTTAAAAAATGTACCCTCTAACACTAGCACTCTCTATTCTATTTTTATTCTAATTGTTTTATTTTTATTTTAAAAATTAACCCTCAAACACTAGCACTCTCTATTCTATTTCTGTTCTAACTACTTGTTTTCTTTTTATATATATTTTTGTTAAATTGACCCTCTAATACCAGTGTTCTCTATTCTATTTCTATTCTTTAAAAAAAAAACACTAGCTTCTCTATTCTTTTTGTTTTCTTTTTATTTATTATGCAGTTAAAAAAATAAAAACCTTGCTATGTGTACTGCGTTAAGCCGCGGTCACACTAGACTTTGAGCATGCGAAATTGTTTCACATGCTGCAACGGTCATGATATGACGCCACGCTGTGCAGCGTCTTTTTAAAAACTTAAATTTGACACGTAACAAATTATACTACATCTAAAATGTAAAAACATACAATCTACTCCACTTTCCTGCAGCGCTGCAGTTTTAAATTTATGTTCTTTTAATTCAAATAGGAGGTCATGCTGTGACGTATCGATCTGCCGTTGGTCACACTGTGTCACGTGATGCGAATTCGCAGGCCAGAGTTCACCAAGCTTGAACTTTGCTATGCAGCGAAATATTTTCGCATGGGCTTGCGTTTCCGGTCTGACACATTCGCATGCGTATGAATGGAAGTCAATGGAACGAAAAGTCTAGTGTGACCGCGTTTAGGCTAACTGGCTTGTCATAGCACTTGCATATCATTGCTCTTTTGTTGATTTTGATTGCTTCCATTGTCCTCATTTCTAAGTCGCTTTGGATGAAAGCGTCTGCTAAATGACTAAATGTTAATGTAAATGAATTTCTATTCTTTCGACTTGTTTTATTTTAATTTATTTGAAAAATGGGCCCTCTAACACAAGCACTTTCTATTCTATTTCTATTCTTTCGACTTGTTTTCTTTTTATTTATAAAAAATGACCCAACACTTGCATTCTCTATTTTTTTATATTGTATCTGCTTGCTTTCTTTATTTTATATATATATATATATATATATATATATATAAAAAAAACCTTGCTATGTGTACTGCATTAGACTAACCGGGACTTGTCAAAGCACTTACATATTATTGCTCTTTTGTTGGTTTTGATTGCATCTATTGTCCTCATTTGTAAGTCACTTTGGATAAAAGTGTCTGCTAAATTACTAAATGTAAATATAATGTAAATGTGTGTGTGTGTGTGTGTGTCCACCTTATGAAGATGAAGCACTCGGACACTCTCTAATGAATGATGAATAACTGATCAGAAAGCACTTAAACGTGAATCTGAAACTCAATCTGTGCTTTCTTCGATTTGGATCCAAATCAACTACCAGTTCAGTCCCTACCAGGGTTATTATCATTTACATTATAACATTTATGTTAGTTCGTTATCTAGGCAACATTTCTAATTTTCTTTTCTTTTTTATGTTGGTCTCATTGGGATACTATTATAGTTTTTGGTTTTACATTTTTTGTTTTCATTCAATTTTTTCTACAATTTTGGTAACTTTGTTGTTCAGTTTTTTTAAGTGTTTTTATTAAATTTATTTCAGTTCAAGTTATTTTAGTATATCAATGTTGCTAGAGAACTAGCTGGAATAAAATAAGCTTGTTATTTTTTATTTTATTTCAGTAAAAGTTTATTTAAAGTAACAAAGGTTTATTTTATTTGATCTATAATAACCCTGGTGTGGAGCAATATTATGATGCAAATAATCATCCATAAGTGCTGTCTGTTCATCCGTCCCTGACCTTTAACAGGACAAACATTTTCCTCCATCCACCCTTCAAACTCACTCTTCACTCGTTTCCAAGCCTCACAGAAAACTCCAGACCGCTCCAGAAGCAATCCCAGCTGTCACAGCAGACTTTAAAGGTAACGCTCACTGACAGTGTAGTTTGGCTTCTTTCCTGACAGTTCAAGGATGAAGATTTTTGTGTGTAACTCATTTTCACTATGCTTTAGAAAATATAACCCACTCCTCAAGCATCTCATGATAGCAAAAGTGTCATTATGTCTCCAACAAAACTAAAAAATATGAACAAATATGTCGACAGGTCTTTTAATATTCATGACTTCTGGGCCTATCAAATGAGCAGTTTTTATCCTCACATTTGATTTAACAGCATTTTTTATTTAATTTTATTATTATTTTATTTTATTACAGTAATTATTAAAAATAATATTTTTTTTAAATATTTTTAAAATTCCTAAAGTAATTCTAGGTAATTAATAAAATTACTGTAATGCACAGGAATAGAGCCAGCTATAATAAAATTACAATTATATTTATTAATTGTCATTTTAATAATTATTTAAAATGTATTAGAAATTAATTTTTTTGTTACTATTTTTAATCAAATGACAAATAATTTAAAATAATTCCTGGGTACTAGAAACTGTAGGTACTTAATAAAATTACGCAAAATGACTGTAATGCACATGAATACAGTATAAAACAATTAAAACATCAATTTAGTACATAAAATTAAACTAAATGGAATGTTTCCTGGGCAACTGGCTGAAGTTTTTTGTTTTTATTTTATTTTATTGTATTCTAAAGGGGTCATATGATGCCCATTTTCCACAAGTTGATATGATTCTTTAGGGTCTTAATGAAAAGTCTGTAACATGAGGGCCTTTCGCACCGCGGGAACCTTTTCATAGTACCAGAACTAATTGTGGAACTACCCACTTTTTGGCGTTTTCGCACCGCCGGAACTGGGTGCGATTTTAGTACCGGACT